TTTTTAAGATAGGAATTTGTAAAGCTTTTACGTTTAATAGTTTAGAAACACTTACTCTATTTATATATGAAAAAGTCACGGCCTAGAATATGTTGACTTCCCTCGATATTGCGAAAAACCTAAGACTGGCTTGAAAAATCACAGGAATTGCAGATGTTATCGATCGCCGCTTAAAACAGAAGGAGTGACAATGATGGAAGTGAATGTGCTAGGCGAACAGATCGATGCCGTAGCCCTAGGCACTGTGGCAATGGATCAACTTCCTCGAGATGTTCTCACAAGGATATTTTCCGATTTCACTTACGCCGACCAGACGGCAACGCTATCATTGGTTAGTAACATCCTACCGATGAAATAATTATAATTACCAAGATTTTTTCCAGTTTTTATGCTGTTTTTAACCTTAGAAATTCTATAGAGGACTTATGAGCTATTTGAAATGTTATGGTTTTTCGTCAAAATAAAAAAGCTGAAAATTTTATTTTTGCGTGCCTTTTAGTAATAAAAAAACTTCTAAAACCATATAAAACGGCACTATAAAGCCCTGAAAATTTGGCGAGTGATAGGCCCCACGTCAATAGCCCAGTACCTAAGAATCCAGCAACAAAAATTGGACCTTTTCAGGTGTGCAAAGTGTTCAGTGAAGTGATCCGTGCCATGAAGCCGCACTTCTTCGATTCGATCCCCAGTGAAGTGTTGCTCCGTGTCTTTGACAATTTTGATCTTCGCGAGAGGGCATCGCTCGTCAGGGTAAGTCTAATTTTCCAGGGTTGCCAAAGAAACTGGTAGGTTGACCGTCGTTTCCGTGATCTAATCGTCGAGAAGAGCAGCGGAGTGGCCGAGGTGAACGTGCTCAACATATTCGAGGAGCACATCTGGCTCCAACTCGGTGCGCCGCAACTCTTCCCGTCAAAAGTTGGTTCACTCTAGCTTTACGAGCCGAAAATGAGTAAAAAATCTCGTAATTTTTAGGGTGATTACCGTCGAGAATCCCGATGAGCTGATCAATATCCTGCGATACATCAAGAACGTCAGTGCCGCCAAAGTGTGGTATGAATCGTCAGAATTCGGGCAGCGCGCGATTGGTAATTAATTGATACAAAGAAAATCAATAAAAACTGTTCAGATCAGCTAGCCGATTCGAAGATGAAAATGAGCTGTGTTGATGTCTATCCATATGCACCGGTTCGTTAGCTTTAACACAAAAAATACCTACAAAATTACAGGAGCAAATCCTGGATTATCTGGACCGGAAATTGCCAGAATTGGGGGCGTTGACGATGAGGCCGCATGGGCAAAATGTGTGGAATGGAGTGCGGATGACACAAATGCCGGCTTTCAACGGATTACGCACGCTTATTATGGACAATTTTGATATTGGGGGAGGTATGTTATAATATTACTCCTAGCTACCCATAACTATCTAAAAAAAGTGTTATTTTTACCATAAAACGTTTGGATTTCTAAGCGTGGATTTTTTTAGCTAGACGTGTTAAAATATAACGTCTATAAAAATAATCAAATCCAACAATTTCAGACACCCCGATCGAATTCCCACCGAACGTGACAACATTCGAATTCTCGAATCGAGGCACCCATCACGACCCTCCACAATGGGTTACTGTGGCCGAGAAGCTGTATCAGGTATGTATTCCTACGTTACCGTATCGAGCCCTACCTCCAGATGCCCCTGATCGAATTCCTTGGCTTCTCCCATGCTCGATTCAACACCATTGATGATCTGTCTCGTTTCCTTCGTCTCATTAGTCGAGAGAAACTGGAGCATCTTCGATTCCTGGTTAGTTCTCAAATTATCAACATTTAATCAAAACATTAGGGCGTTGAAATTCTGCAAATTCCCGTCGCTTCGTCCGATCGTTGATGGAGGAGAGCCAGAGAGGATGGGATGGAGACAGAGAATGGAGGAGAGAGAACGAGAAAGGGAGAGGGCCGGGAGAGGGAGCAAGGTTTGTAAACAAGCTGACTTTTGGCTTTTCGATTTATGCTTCCTAATCCAAAATATAGCCCATGATGCTTTTTTATAATTTTCTGCAGTCTTTAATTACTAGGGAGTTGACTTTCTGGTGATTTTTCATTCGATTCTATCAGCTTTTTTAGCACCCAAAACTCCCTGTAAAAGACAAAATATAAAAATTGTGAATCGTCTATATGTGGAAATTTCCAGCTGAAGAAATCGTAGCGGCCGTGTTGAAAGACCACGAAGGTATCCGTCCCCTTGAAGAACTCAAGGGATCTCGCTGTGGAGAGCCTGCAATGGCTGGAAACTCGAATTATGCGATGGAAGGTTGTCGGAAGTGATGCACGTCTTCACAAATCTGCTGGTAATCAAGTCTTGTCCATCACTCAAGAATGCCCATTTCAGCACCCTCCAAATAGCGTTGCTGTCGATGATCAACGACCTCGAGGCGTTGCGTGATTTTGAATACGGTGGCCCCGCTGCTCGAACGGTTGAATATTTGGACGCATCTATCGTTTCTAACGAAAGCCCCTATCAACTATCCAAAGCCCACGTAAGTAAGATAGGAGTTTAAAAAGGATATACTGAGTTATTTAAATAACCCTCTAAAATTCGAAGCAACATAAAATAAAAAAATTTATTATATAGATCTGGCCTTATTTTTTGTAGCAACTCGTTGTGTCGATTCCAAACATTTTCAGCTCATTCTTCAAGCGAATCCTCCTGTCCCCAGCCCTGTTCAGCATCGTCACCAAGATTGAGTTTCATTTGCTGATGATCCAGCCTTTTTGACAACTATTTGATGGTACTTTCAAAAACACCTCAATCCTAACTTGGTCATTTTCCAGGCAGGAACATGGCCCTGTGTCCACGAGTTGAAATTGATCAATCCGGTGACGAGGCGAGCAACGAATTTCTGATGGCTATGAACACGGTGGGTCGAAAAGAAGAGAAAAACAAATTTGGTAAATGCTCAGGACCTGAAAATTTTTTAGCACTCGCTGCTATTGCGCAAATGATCTTAATATGATGCCGACGTGAATCACCGAGCAGGCAATGATCCTGTTCGTTGAGCAACTGCATTTGAAAAGCCGCGATATCATGGTGGGTGGATTTCAATCTTAAAAACCGGTAAAGGCTGCTGAAAGAAGGCCTCGAAAAACAAGAAAATGTTCCGTAAATCTAATGTATGTTCACCGTTATGTGGGGAGGGGCGAGTGAGGGGAAACCACTTTTTCTCCAATAATTTTGATGACCCTTGAAAGAAATCTAAGCCATTTTTATCAAATTTTACAATATTTTTAGATATAAAAAGCTGCTATAAAAAGGTTTTTAAACTATACAAAATTGCTGAATTGGTCAAAGCTGTACAAAAATACTAGTATCAGAATTTTCGAATTTTTAAGTTTGTTTTTTCAAATTTTTTTGCTAACTTTCCATCAATCAAAAAACTACTTAAAAACTAAAAATATATTATCTATGAGGAACAAGTTCTTAAGGCACAACAGTATATCATTGTGCCCTGCCGCCCCTTTGCTAATAGCCGAGTGCTGCAAAGTGGCCCGAATACAGCTCGTGAATTCAGGTGACATGGAAAAGCCGACAAATTTCATCTGGCGCCCGGACGAGCCTATTTGGGGCTGTGCGCAACACGTGCCGAATTGATGCGGACGAAACGGATGCGGTTGTCGACAAAGGTTGACTTAAATTTCTGGAAACGATATGAAGTTCTTAGAAATTCTCGGAGAGTGATTTTATCGAAGTGTGGACCCAGGATAAGGGGACTGGGAGGAAAGTGACCTTCCGGGCAATGTTAAGCCAAAAAAGACGTCTCAAGCAAGGTTTAGGATTTCGATGACAACGACTGGGGGCGAATTGTGAGCATCAGCGTTAGGACGTCTTTTTAGGTAAGTGGAAAACCCAGAAGGTAGAAGCCAAATTGTTTGAGACCCTAAAAACTAGAAAAAACGCTGAGTTCTCATCTTAATGGATCTGTTCAGCATCCGGCGAATGGAGGAAGAAGCTCTTGGAAAAGGAGAAAAGAACGTGAGGCTCCGAATCAAAGAGCTCGAGCGGGAGATGCCCCTAAAAACCCGCCAGATCCCGTCCCATCCACGTCTACTGTAGCTGATCCTCCTCCAGCGGCTGAAGCTGAAGTGGACGAACAACCCGGAAGAGTGAAGAGAAACAACCTGAGCAGGACAAACATGGAAGCATAATTTCTTTGTCATTTACTATCTCGATTCATGCTCAAAAAGCCATAATATAACGTTGTAGACGTCAAACTCGGTTAATTCCTAGTGCAACTGTTATAGATTTTGTCCGATCGTGTGATTTTCGCTAGTCCACCTAGAGGTTGCCCGATAATTATCACATAAAAAGCATTTGCATAACCATTCAGATCTGTGTACAGTGATTGACCCCTCTTCGAAAATTGAAACCCCGTTAAAGGTACACTAAAGTCTCGTTGGTTTGGTTACCGGCCGGTAACCGTCCGCGGAATAGCAAACAGGGTTACGGTAGGTGCTCGCCGCGGAGCAAAACCGAACCCTCGCCACCCGCCTAGGGCGAGCGTTTCAGACCACTAGGCCATGGGACAGACGTGAGAGGGGAGAGGGAAGGGGGAAAAGAAGGGTCCGGGCGTTGCGCGGCAGAGGGCCCGGATCTCCGACCGCGAACTGACTTTTTGCACGAGATTTTAGTGTACCT